TCTTTTTTTTTTTTTTTTTTTTTTTTTTGTCTTTTGTCTTTTTTTCCGTGTCCGGCAACGGATCGCAACCCTCAGTGTCACCCCCGCACCGGACCGGGGACCGGCAACGGGATCGCAACCCTCGGTGTCGCTCCCGCGCCTCACTCAGCCAGTGAGCGGGAACCGGTCCATATGTGGGATCCGAACCCTCGGGCAGGAGCGCCACCGCGCTTCCCAAGCGGCGCACTATCCATTGCGCCACCGGGCCGGCCCATATACTAACCTTTTCACTTGAGCATAGATACTGAACTATGGGAATCTGTTAGACCAGTGTTTTTCAGATTTCTCGACAGAGCCCCAGGAGTTGACAGGGGGTACTTGGGGGCTGCCTGGGCATGATACAGCCAGGGCTGCTCACACTGTTTCTGCTGCCCTCCTACATCTTAGGTGTATGGTGGAAGCATGTAGGGAAGGCAGTGGCCTGCTGAGCCTCATGGAGTGAAAAGAAGAGAGACTTGTCCCAGGTCCCCTCTGTGAATCTATCACAAGGGAACTCCGTTCTGTGGAGACCATGGGCAGTTTGGATACGTGTGCACAGATAGCTGTGGTATCCTGGGTCTCTCCTAGAGGAAAGGGTGTGAGAGAGGTAGTGCCAGGCTCTAGTTCTGATACCTGCCGTACTTCTCAGACCTTAGTGCCCCCAAATATCAAATGTAATCTCCAAGTCCCCTTCTGTGGAGACCATGTAGGGACTTCAGGCTGAGGCCCTTCTGAAGGTCCAGAGGATGCCAGTAGGGTTTTGGGTGGCTGTCTCAGGAGAACAAAGAATGATAGTTGTGATATCCCTTACTTTTTACAACAGATCAGTTTCTGATCCACATGGAAATCTTGTGTAAAGTAACCTTACTGAAAATGGACTGGGGACCCCAAATGGACTGCCTGTATTGCTTTCAGGATAAAGCCCAATTTCTAGGTCTGCCTTTCAAGGCCCTTCATAACCATGACTGACATTTTCATCATCACCTATCTTTCCTCCCCTACCCTGACAAATTGATGGCTCCACTATGCTGCGTGATGTGTTATTCCTGTGTTAATGCCTGTAGTGCTCTTTGGCATGAATGCTTGTGAAATTTGGCTGCTTCTTCGTAAGGTCTGGCTCCCCTGGTTGGAGGGAATCTCTTCCTCCTTGGTGTTACTGTTATTTTTGTACATTATAACAGCCTCGTATTTGTAGATTGTGAGTTTCTCAAGGTCAGGGACATGTCTGAATCTATTTGATCTCTTGCGCAGGATTTGGCAAATATTTCCCAAATTGATGTTTCAAGGATTTAAATAAAACTTTCTCTATAGTATAACAGCCTCGTATTTGTAGATTGTGAGTTTCTCAAGGTCAGGGACATGTCTGAATCTATTTGATCTCTTGCACAGGATTTGGCAAATATTTCCCAAATTGATGTTTCAAGGATTTAAATAAAACTTTCTCTATAGTACAGTTACTTTTAAGTTATGGAATTAGCAAAATCCAACTTCTTTTACTTGAACTTTCTTAAAATTGGACTAATTCCAAAGGAGGTTTTTCTATCTGCGACTTTCATTGAGCCATTTTCTGTCGCCTCTATGCAAATTGTCAGAAAACTTTCTTGGTGGCCTTCCTTTGCCTCGGTGTCAACATTGATTTCTTATAGAAAATGGGAGAGGAGAGGGGACTTTCATTGAGCCATTTTCTGTCGCCTCTATGCAAATTGTCAGAAAACTTTCTCGGTGGCCTTCCTTTGCCTCGGTGTCAACATTGATTTCTTATAGAAAATGGGAGAGGAGAGGGACATTTACTGAGTACCAGCTCTCTCTGCTGGGTACTATCCTAGGTTCTTAACATTGTTTTATCCTTATAACTCAAGTCTCTGATTCCAAACCTGATGCTCTTATTGCTTTTCATTAATAGAGGTTTAATATGTCCCTCTGTAGGCCACAGACCCAGAGAACCTGCTGTAGCCAACTCTAAAGGAAGAGTTACTAGTTCTTTATTTTTTGGCAGCTGTCTAGTAGGAGGATCCAAACCCGTGACCTTGGTGTTGTAAGCCTGCACTCTAAGTAACTGAGCTAATCGGCCAGCCCAGTTCTTAAAACATCTATATGGTAATTTGGTATGGTAGATAAAAATATATTGCATTGTTTATTCCTTACCAGAGATCTGGAGGATGGTGATGGCATCTCCACTGTACGGATTAGGGAACAGATTTAAAGGAGTTCAATGAGCTGGTTTGGCCACTATTCCACACTATCCTCCCATGAAGCTCTACAGCTAGGACTAAGACCTAGACCAGTGTTTCCATGTCAGAATTCCTTCCCAGCATTTCCAGAATCCCTAGAAAAATAGGTTGAGGAAATGAGGAAAAGTTTTATAATTATCCTGTGAATACTAAAGCTTATCAGCCTAGAAACATTACTGGTTTGAAGGAATCCACCTTCATCAAATATAAAACAAGAGCAGGAAACACTAACATGCCAAATTGAAGGTTAAGAGAACCAAGACAGGAGCATGTAAGAGAGAAATGGTCATCCAATTAGTCAGTCTTGCTTTTGGTTGTTGCCATGTCATAAGTATATGTGTTTAGCCTGTTTGTTGCCAATGATGAGTTTTCCTTGCAAATAAAATAAGTTTATACACATAGCATATGCTATAGCAAATCCTGTGAGTAGTGTTCCAAGAAATAAACTTTGCAAGCAAAGTCTTAAGTTGGTTATTTGGACATGTGATTGATTGTATGTACTGTTAACTTGACTAGGATCTTTGAATGTTACATTATTTAAATACTATCCAATACCTGTTCCCTGGCATTTTCCAGTCTTTAAATATTCCCTACAAGCTATTCTTTTTAAATACTACTAAGCTTACTATGCCTATTTATTAAACAAAAATTTTTTTCTAATACCTACAGTAACAAGGAAAAGACTGTGAAAAATGAAGTATTTTAAGAGTAGCTTATGATTTGGGTGAATTTCTGAGAATTCTAATTTCTTGTTCCTAAATTCCAAAGGTAAGTGTTTATTGTGAATTTGGAAACACTAACCTAGACCACAGAGAACCAGGTACTCTCCAGCCTGGAAGGCTCACTGATCTCAGGAGGGTTATATAGCTGCTCACTGTAGAGCTTGGTCTAGAACCCAGGTCTCAACACCTAGTGTCATTCACTTTTCATTCCATTCTGTTGATTTCATCTCAGAGAAACCCCTCACCCCTTGCCCCGAGCTCCTATTATGGTTTTGTTCCAAGAACAGCTAAAAAGTTGAAGCAGAGAGTGATAGGAAGAAGTGGGAACTAAAGTTAATGAAGACGTTTAAGGGAAGACATTATTAACACAACTAAGCCCTTCACTCAAGGGTTTAAAAAGCTACACTTTACCCCTGAAACTATAGAATTCAATTGAACTCACGGCCTTTACTTGTCCCTATAGCTCATCAGTAACATATGTGGAGGTTCCCTCTAAGCACCTGGGGAGCCAGGAGCAGCAGGGATTATCACTGGCATTTGAGAGGTGATAAAATTGAAGCAAAGGAACCTAACCAAAGTGTGGTACAGGTCATATGGAGGCAGGCCTAGAACTCATTGCAGATTGCTAGAATTGGGTGCCTATGTGTACTGAGTAAAGTTTTATAGTTCCTGTCCTTAAGTATTTTAATCGGTCAATTTCTGAGTTCATTTCCCATCTTTTATCTTTCTGTGGCCTACAGCTAAGGTTTTTTGCCCCCATGGGTCAGGTACTCCCAGTAGAAAAATGGTCCACATTCTCTCTGGCAGTAAGATTGAGAATATTGCTAACAGAATGTTGTAGGCAGTGACAGGAGTGGCAAGGTGGGAGAGGATAGGGTCCCACCATTTCTCAACCTAACCTCCAGGAAACCAAGAGTAGAAGCCAGTTTCCTCTGCTGTTCAACAGCTGATAATTCACTGCAAGGAAGATAGGTGATTTTTCAAATGGAACGTTTAAATTATAAATCCGACACATTAATTATAACTTTAATATAACAAATGTTATTAAAAGCAGCAATTCAAAACCATGAATCTTTTAGAAGGTGCACAGGGTTACAAGGTCAGTTGGCAGTAATGCAGCTATTATCTGGTACGAATGAAATGCTGGGATGGGGAGTCAGGGTGACCTTGTTAGGCCTTGTGCTGACTTCCCAAGTGGGGAAGACACCCCCTTCCCCCTCCTTTCACCCAGAGCCTCTCTGGAGCCCCAAGTAGGGAATGTGCGATGTACTGTAATGGGTCTTGCTCATCTGGGGCTTTCTCAGGCCTGGAAAGCACTCCTGGGAGGTTGCTGTGCTCTCTAAAGCCAGGCAGGAAGCCACAGATTGGATCCCAGATCCCACACCCTGCTGGGCTGGGGGCTGGCCTCTCAGCTCCCCTTCTACCTGGCCCCAGTCTGGGCCTTAGTGGCAGCAGCTATGGTGCTGAGAACGGGGAGAATTGGGCCCAATGCCAGCTCATCCCTGCCTGGGCCCTGCCAGGAAAGCATAGGGACGTGGGTGAGCCATGCACAGGAGGTAAGGTCCCTTTGAAAGGCACTGTAGGAGGTGAGGTTTAAGGCGGGGGGCATCTAAACTCTCAGGGACCCCCTGAATGCTCACAGGTAGGGAAGGGAGTCAGGCACTGTAATGGAAAAACCAGCTCCTCAGGCCTGCTGCCCCTGCTGCTGCCTGTCATTGTTCTGCCCACCTTCGCCTTCCAGCTGGCGGCCTGCAAAACCCAGCCAAGCTGGAGGCAACAGCAGCAGTTGGCAAGGCTGGTCCCCATCTGGTGCCCCTGCCTTCCAGTCAAGGCACTTCTTTCCATTTTCCAATCAAGTGAGTCAGTTTCTAATATCTCTGGAAGCAGCAAAAATGAGGGGCTCCCTCCCTCCCAATTTTGGTTTCCCTCCATAAGGGGGGCTGAGTTTGAATGTCGGTTCTAAGAATTGTTTATACCCTCACTGACAAAGGCTTCCTTGTGAGGAAAGGGGAAAACCCCAACCTATCCCAAAAAGTGGTTTGTCACTTCAGGGCAGGACAGGGCAGAGGACATGGAAGAGGGTATGAGTTCCTTGTGCCTCACTATGGGGCCACAGCTCGTTCATGGTCTGAAAGAAGGAGCCAGGAGCTGGGCTTTCACATTTAGTTGCATGGCCCCTGGAAGAGGGCCAAGGGAAAGCCAAAGGCAGGAGCCAGGCTGGCCTCAGAGGGAACTTGTGGCTCTGCATGTGTGACTGTGTGTGTGTGGATGGATGGTGGTGTGGTTGTGTGGAGATGTGTGTGTGCCTGGAAGATGAAAGCACACACATGGGTGGGAGCTTATGTGTCAGTGGCTGTGTACTGTTTGGCTGTGTGTGGTGGGTCTGGGGGTGGGAGGCACAGGAAACAGTCAGGGTTAGCATGACACAGCTTCCCTTCCCACCACTCCCTCCCTCCCAGTCCCCCAGGTTTTCAAGGATGCTTCCATTCCAGCAAGGCCAGACTCAGCTCCATGGCAACCAAGAGGGGGTGTGGCCAAGGAAAGGAAAACTGGAACCTCCAAAGCTCACACCCATACCCACAGCCTTCACTCAGCCTTTGTAACTGGGCCCTGATACTGGTGCCTTCTGAGGCAGAGACCCCACTCTTCACTCTTCAGATCCCGAGAGTCCCAGGGTCTCTGCCACACAGGCTTTCACAGAGGCCTTCTCCCACCTCCACCGTAGCAGAGGAAAGTGACAGGAAAGTGCGAGAGAAAAGCTCTGAAAGGTGTCCTCTTTCCACCTTCACCCATTCTCTCTTGAAGGTTCCCGTTCTCATAATGTAGTCCCTGGGGGGACTGGCTGTGCCATGGTCAGGCACAAAGGGTATCCAGTGGAGGGACAGATGTGCACATGTAGGATGTGTAAACACAGACACACCCAAAAGGGGTGAAAGAGGTAAAGGGACACAGAATTGGGGACAAAGACACAAAGATTTGGGCCTCAGGAGAAACGATCAGGACCAGAGGGGACACAAATTCAGAACAGCTAAACAGAGATTGAGGGGCTGTGGAGTGTGTACAAACTGAAAAATAGCCAGAGGGACCTTAGAGACACAGGCAAAGGGGTGAAGAGCCTGAGGAAGCCCCAGAGCAAAAGTGGCACAGCAGAGAGGCACAGGCCTTGGCCTCGTCCTTGGCCTGGATGGCAGGCAGGGCTTTTAGCCAGGCACTTAGCTCTGCCCTGCTTCCCTCCCCCACCCCAGTCTGGAGAAAACTGGGGAACCTATGGCTTCCGCTGTCCCTCCTTTGGTTTCCAGGGCTCCTGGCATCCTCTGAGGGCTAGTCAGTAAGGGGTGGTCCCTTCCCACTCCACCAGGTACTGAACCTTGCCCTCAGGTGTGATCCTCCGAGCCAGCACCTGGTACTTTTCCCCACAGGCCAACCGCCCAGCCGCACCAAAGTAGTTAGTGATAGATGACTTGAGGTGGGACAAAGATGAGTCATCTTCACTGATGCTCTCAAATGTGTGGCTGTCAATGCCTTCGTCTGGCCGCTCAGGGCCTGAAGCCCCCTCTGCACTGCTGTCCGAGGGGCAGCGTCCGCCTGGCTCGGCCGCCCGCCGCTTTGCCCGCAGTGGCATGTAGGCTTTGGCTGCCAGCTTCCTCTTGCGGCTGCCCACTGTCCGTCTGTGTTGGGAAGGGTAGGAGGAAGATGATGAGAATGAGATGGAGCAATCTTTTAATGAATTCCTTGCCCAAGCACTCTCCTAGGCACCAGGCACTGTGCCAAGCCCGGGGCATGGGTTATCTCACTGGATCCTCTCACTAGCCCTGTGAAGAGGGAAACTGAGGCCCCAGAGGAGAAATAACCAACTGGGGAGTGGCAGAGCAGGGTTACACCTGTGTATGTCCAACTCTAAAGCTCATGCTCTATATCTAGGATCCCAGCACTGCACAAGTGCGCGAGCACCATTCTCTGTGCCTCTTGAAGTTGTGCAGTGGGAGGCCCTGCCAATACTTCCTTGTCCCTCACCTGGACCCACCTGGAGCTAGGTGAGTCACACAGGGATAGGGTGGTGGATATGGACTAAAGGACCTTGTACCCCAGGGGCTGGATGGAGACACCAATAGTCATCACACATACACACACACAGGCAGAGGTGTCAGAGAGACGGACACACAAGATGAGGTACACATTCGCAGGTGCTTAGAAACTAAGACCCAGAGTGCTAGTGAGAAGCAAAGAAACAGGAAGAAATTCAGTGAGCAACACAGGCTTGAACTGTGCAGCTCCACTTATATGTAGATTTATTTCAATAAATGGAAAAATTTTAGTTATGCATGACATACCTAACCAAACAGTTAAGTAGCTTACCTTACAGTAGGCTTTTAGCAGGCCATTAGTAGTTAAGTAAGATTTGGGGGAGTCAAAAGCTACATGTGGATTTTCGACTGTGTGGGGGTCGGTGCCTCTAACCCCTGCATTATGCAAGGGTCAACTGTAAATGAAAATATACAGGCAACAGCAGAGAAAGACATCTAGAAAGAGATGTCTGGAGACAGAGAAAGACTCCAAGTCATAACTCTATAGGCATTACACTTTTAATTCTACTTTTGCAAGGGCCTCAAGTATCTAAAATACAGTTATAGGAGCCTCAGTTCAGAAGAAATCCTTGTGCTTTGCAGCACCACCCTTCCCATGCTGCTGAGGACCAGCTATTGACAAACAAGCTGTATCCTCAGTTAGGCCCTGGGGATTTGTGGCTCCTCTCCCAGACCCTGTACTCTGCAGGATGCCATCTTCCCCTCCATCAGGTTTCCAAATAAATGGCTCTTTCCATTAGAGACCCCGGAAAACAGACACCAGATTCAAACAGCCATGAACCAAGGTCAGGCGACACTGCACAGAGAGGCACAGACAAGCAAAATCATGGCTTGCAGAGGCCAAGAACACCAAAATAAAGAAGTTCTGGTCAAACCATCCCAGAATTGGAATCATCCAGCGAGAGGTGTCCTACATCCTTCTGCATCAGGCGAAAGGGACGGAACCACAGCAACTTGAATGCCTATGCTTAGTCCCCCTCTAAACCCCAGTGACTTGGAACTAGGGTCCTAGAGCCAGACTCACACAATTGCAGAAGGCCGGGTACCCCAGCCTGAGACTGAGTGCACAGAATGAGCCACACGTCACAGAAGCGGGAGGTGGAGAGGCTAGGGGAATAACGTTACTTGCAGAACTTGAAGGCCAGACCCCAGGAAGCTCACCTGGAGTCATATCACAATTGCAGAAGGCCGGGTACCCCAGCCTGAGACTGAGTGCACAGAATGAGCCACACGTCACAGAAGCGGGAGGTGGAGAGGCTGGGGGAATAACGTTACTTGCAGAACTTGAAGGCCAGACCCCAGGAAGCTCACCTGGAGTCATAGGAGAGGCTGGTGGAGGCAGAGCCAGAGGTGCTGGCGGCGTCGGTGGAGTCCACATCTGAGAAGAATGTCTGGCCGGAGCTGGCGCTGAGAGAGGGGAGAAGGTGAGCCTCCTGTTGGCCCAGCCCAGCAAGGTCCTGCCAACCTGGGACCCTTGGGACCTCTCCAGCCATCTCTCCACCCCTCTGGCATGCATCTTCATCCCAGTGGAGGCCCGTCTTCCTATTACTGAGCTTCCAACCACCACACCTGCCTGTCCATTTTCTACCTATCCAGGCTTCAAAATCCAAGGAGTCAAGAAAGCCTTCTCTGACCACCCTTCCTTGCTGGTGACAATAATTTATGAGAATGAACTGAGGCACTTGGGCAACACTTTACAGGTCAAAAGTGCTTTCACTTGTAGTATCTAGGAGGTTCAGAGAAGTTAAGGAATTTAGCTAAAGCCACACAGCTACTACTGGTAAGCAGAGTCTGGAGGTGGGGTCTGAGTCTAAAGCCCTTGCTCTTTCCTCCGTATAATCAGTAAAGCACTGAATGACCTTTAATAATTTTGGAAATAAAATGATGGAAGATGCAGCTCCTCCCATTGGTTGTACCCAAGCATGGGGTGCTGTGGGAACACACAGGAAGGCAGCCAGTACAGCCTGGGTTGGGTTAGTGAAGGCTTTCTGGAGGAGGCAGGGTCTTGAGCAGGGAGAAGCAGGAGAGGGGGCTGAAGAGGTAGGGAAGGCCGTGGCAAAGCAGGCTTTGTATTCTGCTCTGGGAGCAGAGGGATGTTATGCTGGAAGCTCTAGTGGAAAAAGACCCTTCAGGCAGCCCCAGGCAACATGCACCCTTTCAACTGGGGGTTTCAAAATGACCCCCAAGCACTTCCCACTCCCTCAAAAGGATTTCTGCTTTGCCCCTTCCAGAGCCTCCCTGCACTGCTGGGGGAATGGAAGTGGCCTCCCCACTTGGTTCCATCCCAGTCTCCAGAGCAGACCCCTCTGCTGGGTCTCTCATCAATACCTTTTTAAACTCTGAATTTCATCCAAAGTGAAGTCAAATATGCTGGCGAGGTGGTGGTTGGTGCTCCAGGCCGAGGTGAAGTCACTCTGTGGACAGACACAGAGGAAGGAGAGAAGAAGGGTCAGTCAGCGAGTATCAGATCTGCCTCCCAGAAGTACCCTTCTCCCCAGCTGAGGGCCACACAGGCTGGCTGCCATCCAGCCAGGGCTGCTGAGGGCTGGACCTTCCCTAGGTAAGACCTGTCCCTCTCTTTATTCCAAGGCCTGACCCGGGAGCCACATCACCCTGCTTCTAGTCCTGGCTTTGTTTCTAGCCAACTGTACAACCTTCACCTCTCTGGGCTTCAGTTACCTCAACTACAAAACGGGACGCCCTTAGAGGTGTTAGGAAGCACAGTGAAATTAAATAATGGTTGTAAACGTGCCTTGTAAACTGTAAAGTGCTGGGGAATTGAGGTATTGTTAATATTCCTGCCCGCAAGAAGGGCTTCAGTAAGAATGCAGGGTTACTAAAGAAGGAAAGGAAGTGCTCTGCAGCCCTGGTTCTAGGCTGGGCTCTGCCACTGTCCTGATGTGTGACCTCAGGAAAGTTACTGCCCCACTCTGCTCTGTTTCCCCTCCTGGACAGTGAGGGCAAGAATATTACCTGCCCTTGCCCTCTAACCTTGGGTTCTTGGGAGAACTTGGGGAGATAAAGGAGTGGTCTTGGAGTGCCTGGCTTTTCCTTGTTTAGATGTAATAGGAACTGGCTTCTCCTTTAAGGGACATGGAAGAGTCCCCTGGGCCTGGGGGAGTTTTGCGCATGAATCCCTAATATGTGCTGACCCTGTGTGTGAAAGTGGAGAGCAAGAAAATAAGGAACTAACACTGGGAATAGCATCTTCCAGCAAAAACTTTGATCTTTTTCTTCTATAAACTCGCCTTTTCTGCTGCTGGAATTCGTGAGGCAACAAACTGTGGAGACAGAAAAGGGAGAGGGTGGCCCAGTCAGAGCCTGAGGGCCCAGAGGGTGGCCCAGAGGGAGGAGCCTCAGGAGCAGGGGCAGGGGTCACAGTAGTAGTAGGGGTGGGGATGGGCTCTGAACAATAGCAGCACCTTCCCAAGGAGAATTGGGCAGGAGGGCGAGTTTTCTGGAGCAGCAAGTGTGGGAGGGTGTGGAGGAGGTATAGTGGGCAGAAAAAGAAAAGGCACCTGCCCTGGCATGTGCATCCAGATGCCCTGCCCCCCAATACCCAGGATGAGGGTGCTTGGCTTAGCCAGGAGAGCTAAGGACCCCTTACACACCCTGACTACTCTGACTTTCCCTTCACCCTCTTGCCCAAGCCCTAATCCAGCAAGGCTGGGTCCCAGGATCTGGTTTCCCTCCTGTGGTGGAAGGAGTCGGGAATCTGGAATCAAGTCCCACTAAGCCACTAACTAGCCCTCTGCAGGTGCCTACAGCTGGGACAAGCTGGGGCTAGGTCCTCCCTGCTTCCTTGGGTGCCACCATACTCTCTGGGCCTACTGCACAGCCTGCTGGCTTGGTCTGGGAGCAGAGAAACCGAGTGTGGCTGCAGCCCTAGTCCCTGGGTCCCCGAGCACTGACCCAGGCTTGCTCTTTCCTCTCTTACGCAGCTCAGAGGAGGTGCCGTTCTCACTCAGCACCAGGCCTTTGTCAGGCAGCAGCTTCCCTGGCGGGTTGGGCGGGACACGGATGCGCAGGCGGAAGATGCACTTCTTCTTCTTGATCTCCTTGCCGCAGAGGAACCTGGGGGTGGAGGGCAGGGGGAGGCGAAAGCTCTGGAGTCTGTCAGTCCATCCTCCTGGGGAGTGGGGTCAAGCATTAAACAAGCTTCTCTGCCTCCTTGGACCCAGAGCTAAAATCCCAAGTGGCCTGGAAACACTGAGTCCTCAAAGCCTATGAAAAGAGGGGTCCCAGGTGTAGCTGATAAAGTTACTGGTGGCTCCTCCCTGTCCTTCCTCCCACATGTGTGGTTCTTCAGCTCCTCTCCCTTTTCTGCCTCAACCAGTCCCAAGGCCACCTCCCATAGGAAGTCCTCCTCCAGCTCACGTGAAACTCCTATGCTCAAGACACTGGATTCTACCTCATTCTATTCTCTGGTCTCCCCCAGGAGACTGAAAAAACCTCCAAGCACTTTTCTCCTCTTCCTTTCAACACCGGCTGAGCTATTATGAGGCCGCAGAGGTAACTAAGACACAGCCCTACCCCCACTAGGAGGACAGATGGCCATTGGGGACTGTCCATTGGGAGGGCAGGTAGCCTCATGTACTGAAGAGTAGGGCTATGTCTGGTCCTGAAACATGAAAATGTGAATGACAGAGTGGGAATTCTGCCTAGAAGGGTCTGGAAGGGTTTCACAGAAGCAGGGGCCTTGTCTTATTCCCCACCATGGCCTCAGCACCCAACAGGGCCTGACTCAGTGCAGCACCTTAATAAACACTTGTTGATGGAACAAATGTATAGAAGGGATGAAGAGTATCCTGGGAAGAGTAAGCACATGCGCAAAAACACCGAGTTGGAAGGCTAAGGGCTCAGCATGGCTGGTACCCAGAGTAAATAAAGCAAAGGGATGGAAGCAAAGAGTGGGCAGGGCCTGATCCTAAAAGGCCTGGAATGCAGGGTTAAGGAACCTGAGCTTTACCCTGTGGTGGTGGTGAAGGACAGGGCTGGCTGCGTGTGCTGAAAACTGGATGGGAAGACATGGGCTGGGGAATGAGTTAGGAGACTACAGCCCACCCAAGAGATGATGGATCGATCCCTCAGTGCCTGGCCACGAACCTGGGGGAGGGGCCCTCAGAGAGCAGGATGCGGCCCCCTGTGGAGCTGAGCCCAGTACCAAAATGTGTCAGGTTGCTGGGGTGGTTGGGGAGGCCTTGCGAAGGAGGTGGGCTGTTCCCTGGATCTTGAAGGATGGCAAGAACTTATATAGTCAAAGAAAAGGGGAAGGGGACCCAGGCAGGGAACATGGCTTAAGCAAAGGCTGAGAGGTAGGAAGAATCCTCAGATTGAAATCCTACCTGTTGGGGGCCCCCACAGCATTCCCTCCCCTCTGTGCACGCACCGGCTTTTGTAACTGTTCAGGGCGTTGAGGAGATGTGGTCCTCGATCCGTCACAGGGGTGCTGGTGAGCTAAGGGGGAGCAGACCAGCAGGACAGTCAGACTCTGGCACATGGCATTTGGGGAGGCCCCAGTCCCTGTCCCTGCCCTCCCCTCCAACTCCTGATGCATCTGAGTCCTCCAGGTGAGGACCACAGATGTAATCCATGATCTCAGACAAGCCTTTTCACCTCTCTGAGCTCATTTCCCCATCTGTAAGTGAAGAGAACAACTCCTGGCCAAAATGTATCAAAAGCTTTAAAAATGTCCATACCCTTAACCCAGTAATGCTGCTCCATGGAAGCTATCATACAGGTATACTATGAAACATGAACAAAACTTTACGTTCAAAAATGTTCACTGTAACATTGTTTCTAATGGACAAATGGGAGAAAAATTGTATGCTCAACAGGAAGGAAACAAATTATGGTAGAAACCAATGGAGCTATTAAAAATGTTATGAAGACTCCTTAATAATATAGAAAAGTATTTATGATATAATGGAAACTGCAAAAAGATGATTTTAAATTGTATATATACTATCATTTAAATTTTGTAAAAAGAAAAAATAATTGCATAGAATAAAGACTGGAAGGAAATGCTCCTATGCATTGTTTCTAGTTATTTCTGGGTGTTATGATGTGGGACTATGGAGTTTTAAAATTTTTAATGATTAAGTTGTTTTTATTTTTTTGTGCAGCTGGCCAGTATGGGGATCCGAACCCTTGACCTTGGTGTTACAACTCTGTGCTCTAACCCACTGAGCTACTGGCCAGCCATCGAGCTTTTTTAAAACTATATACTTCCTTATGCTTTTTGGTACTTAAACTTTTTCTACCAGAAACATGTATGATTTTTTAAAATAAATCAGAAAACAGTTATCTTAAAAAATACCAACTCTACTTATCTTTTAAGGCTTTATAATATGTACACTCATGCATTGCTTAACAACAGTGATACATTCTGAGAAATGCATTGTTAGGTGACTTCATCACTGTGAACATCGTAGAGTGCACTTACACAGACCTAGATGGCATAGCCTACTACACACCATGGGTATATGACTTAGCCACTGTTGTATATATGATCTGTCGTCAAACAAAATGTTATGTGGTGCATGACTGTACAAGAGTACTTCAAAAAGCTTGTGAAAAAATAGAGTTAAAAGATAATACAAATCTTTGCATGAACTTTTTGGAGCATGCTTATATGTCTTTTATAAATTATCAATCACTGTAAATGAAGATGTTATTATATAAAACCCTTCGCAAAGCCGCAAAGCATCTTTTTGCAAAGGTTATCTTTTTTTTTTTTTTTTGAAAGCCTTGTCTCATCAAAGGAGGATCTGAGGCAGTCAGCAGAGAAGATTTCTCACTCTGTAAGTGATGGAGAGAATCCTAAGGGTGTCATTAAGGGAAAGGGTGCATAGCCCTCCTGTGGAAGTGGTTAAGGAGGCCCTGGCTCCAGCTCTTGCTCATCCCCAAAGCTGTGCTGACCACTGGCAAGTCACTCTCCAGCTCTGACATTCTGGGTTGCTACTTCACTCCATGGACCTGAGGCTCCCAGGCCCCTGGTGACCCAGTATCCAGAACAGGATCAGCAGGGGGCAGGACCACTCCACTTTCCACCCTAGCCAGGAAATCTGGAGTGGGGTAAAGTACTCCTGCCACTCTGATATCCATGGCCCTGCATACCTTGCCAAGCTGCAGGAGCTCCCAGTGGTGGTTGACAAAGGCCAGAATCTCCTCAAAGTCAAAGTACTTCTTCTTGCTCTGCACTCCCAGGTTGTAGAGGGCCAGGTGAACCACATCCACCCTGGGCAAGGGGGCATGGAGGTGGGGCCAAGTGAGACGCAGCCTACCCAGCCAGGGCTGGAGCCTCTGGGTCCAGGCTGAGGAGCAGGGGCAAGGCTGGGACTGGGTAGCTGAAAATGGAATTGTTCCCAGAGGGAGGAGGAAGGGGAGGAGCTGAGAGGGGCAGGGGTGGATTTGGGCCAAGCCCCACCCTCTCACCATCGCAGGGGCAGCCTCTCGATGTACTCTGGGCCCTGGTTACACACGGAGCAGAAGAACAGGTAGAACCTGTGGGTGGGTGGAGAGGGGCCCTGTGGTGGGAGGGGCTCTTGACACCCCATCCTAGTCCAGCGCCCTCGCCTCCTCACCCCTCACTCCCCACCTGCCTTCCCATCCTGTGTTCTCACTCCTAGGGCTGGTGGCCTCTCACGGGGTAAGGACAGGGCAGGACAGGAACCAAGAAAGGCTCCCCTAGCCTCCTCACCCCTCACTCCCCACCTGCCTTCCCATCCTGTGTTCTCACTCCTGGGGCTGGTGGCCTCTCACGGGGTAAGGACAGGGCAGGACAGGAACCAAGAAAGGCTCCCCTACCCCTCCTAATCCCTCTTTCCACCCCCTTCCCAATGTTGCCCTGGAGTGTGGCTGAGTTCACTGAGTTTATAGGGAGAGAGTTGAACGAGGCTGGGCTGCAGTGGTCACCCTCTTCCACTCTGAGACAGACAGATAGACACACAAACAACCACAAATGACATGAGACATCAACCAAAAGACATAATATCTGGTTTGACATACATAATGCCTTCCATTAGCTTAGACCCATTGGTTAGAAGCTGGATTAAGTTGTCCATTTCCCTAGTGGCTCCTACAACTGGGGCAGTGACTGTCACCCCTCCTTCCCTAGACATTTGAAGAGACTAGGGTTGAGGACAGGCAGGGATTTATCTAAGGTCACCTACAAATCAATGGCAACTAGGAATATGGTCCAGTATATTCCTTTATTGCCTAATGGCCCAGCTTAGTTGGGGCCTCTCCTCCCGAGTTGCCTCCCATACACAGGTACACACTATCATAGATCCCCCTTGTCTGGGGCCTGGCAAGCAATCTGAAGGAGTAGTTGCTGCCACCCCTCCTGGCCCCTCAACCCATTCCCAAGGCCCAGCTGGGCTAAATTAGCACCTACCGGTCTCCGAACATCATGGGCTCATTGAGGCACTGGGTGCAGGCCTCATGGAACCACTGCCTGCACCGGTAGCATTGCAGCATCCGCAGGTACCACCTGAAGAGACAGAGGAACCAGTGTCAGCCAGGCATGAGTCTCAGTGACCTTTCCCAACTTAAAGTCACTCTCCACTGGCGGAAAGGGAAAAGAATTCATAGTTGCCAAGCACTTAGGCTGTGCCAAGGGAGGTCCTGGGAGCCAGGCATATGCTATCTCATTTGGTCTCACCATCTGATAAAAGATGGGCCACTGTCCCATATTACAGATGAGTCAGAGGTTAAATGGCTTGCTCAGAAAGCAAGTGGTAGATGGTGATTCAAATTCTGGTCTCCCTAACTTCAAAGCCCATGCTCTTCCTGTCATGCTACACTGGAGCTCCCATCTCTAGACTGTGCCCCAAACACCAGTGATAGGGAAAGGTTTGCCTGGAAAACTTCATGGGAAAATAATGGCTCCTATAAACTACATGGGGGCAGGATACATCTGGTTTTTCTCACCTGGTACTGTATCTACCGTATCAGGGCCATTCAACAACTAGTCATTGAATACGAATAAAGAGCAAAGAGGTATTCCCTTAAACTATCAATGCCTTGTTTGCACCTTGTCAAGTGCAGTTCAGGTTAAAATGCACATTCCTTGGTCCACTCCGGATTTATTCAATCTTTTTTTAACATACATGCTTACATTTATAACAATTTTCCACGTAATTCATAGAAACAAGCCTCATAAAATTTACATTCTGAATACAATAAAAACCAGTTCTAATGAAGGTTTGGGGTGTTTTGGACAGCTGGCCGGTATGGGGATCTGAACCCTTGACCTTGGTTTTATAATGCTGTGTTCTAACCAACTGAGCTAACCTGCCAGCAGTTCAAATGAAGATTTAGCTGTCTTCCTAAACATTTCTGTTTGAGGTATCACTTTAAGACATGCCAATATAGCACATTTGTAAAATGACCCAGGAGTCCATCCTAAAAATCCCAATCAACACAGCATCATCTCTGGGATACTTACTAACAGGATGAACAAGACTAATCTCTTGAAACAAGGAAGAAATATTTTAATTGTTACAAAAACAAGGGAGACAGGTACTAGGAACTCTGTATTTCATAAAACAGTGAAACTTTGTTATATTTTCATGATCATCTTCCTTTAAACCATTCATTTAAAAAGTCCTAGGCAAGACCAATAAAGCAGCTTCATCTAAGATATTTTAAAAAGCCTAGAGATTAAAAAACAACAGTGAAGAATTTCACTATCTTTATATATTAAATCATAGTATATAAAGCTATTCAATTTTTCAGTGTCACGAGTAAAGCATTAGCTCTATCTAGCTTCATCCCTGGGAGGTGGGCACTTGATACAGCAATACTCATTAATTGGTAGGTAGATTACTGTGTTATTGTGTTAACTGTGATTACTGTGTTAACGGTAGTAAAGCCATTTTACCATCAACTTATGAAGTAATAACACTAGCCAAACACACAGAGACACAAATACCAAAAAATGATGTATATATAAGTATATATACAAGTATATATAAGTAGCTATACTTAGGGCATGACTATCAAGTAACAAGACTGATTTAATACTTTATAGTCATAGCACATTAAAAATACATTGCCAGAGAGATAATGGTCCCACATATGAAAAATGTCTGTATGAAAAAGGCTGTGATTTATTGCAAAGCATAATTATATAGCAAATTCCAAGGAAGGGCAAATAATTTTTAGAAGCAAATTTTTATTGTAACACCAAGGTCAAGGGTTTGGATCCCTGTACCAGACAGCCCCCAAAAATCCACAAAGTTTTAAACTTAACATATTAGGCCAAAGTCTCAGTTACTTTTTGGAGAATTCAGAAATATTAGGGGTGGAAGAATGCTTTTTCTTTTTTTCTTCTTTTTTGTGATGTTTCACTTATTTATTTATTTATTTTTCTTTTCTTTCTTCTGATAGTTTTGTTCATTTGTTCTAAAGTGTCCTCTTCAGTGGAACCGGATGAATAAGACCTTTTCCTTTTTTTTTTTCAATTTGATATTCTCTTTGATTTTTTCTTTTCTTCCCTCTTTTTCATTTAT